AGTTGCCTGTTCATTTTATAAAAGAGTAAAGAGAATTGTTTCATGGCAGTTTTTCATAGCACGACAGTACAGATGGAAGATTCTTTCTTCAGAGAGATGGAGAGATGCATAAAAGGAGAAAATCCTCTTAGATCTGGCCAGTTCTCTTGTTGAGCGGAGGTAGGAGGTATCTTTGATGGCTTCTGCCATTGCCATTACCATCACCTATAAGGCTTCCATACATATTCCTTTCCTAAAAAGCCAGGCGGGCATCCGTGGCATAAGGCAAATTCTAGGCGTAATGTCCAGAGGTTCTCTCTTCTTTTCCCTATTATCTTTGTTTTCTTCATCTAAGATGTAGAAAGGGGCTTCTTACTCTTATCCCATGTGTGCAATAAACAAAATTTTAAGGCACTGAAGAGGGTTATTTTTCTTCCATTTTTCTTGACATCTAGGTGTGGTTTTCTTCAGTTCATGTGCCTTTCCTGGAATGTTGGGGTCCAACCCAACGGGTCCAGGGAATCCCAAAGGTGTGGACGGAGTCAGCGAAGAATGAATGACATGGAAACTGGTTTCAGTTCATCAGCATAGCGAGGTTCTCCCTCCAGGATCTCAAGCGAAGTTCTGGTCAGGATCTCCAAGTTCTGGTGCCATGTTCTTTCGCTAGGTTCTCCAGCCAGGTTCTCCAGGTTCTTTTGCCATGTTCTGTCTAGGTTCTCCAGTGAAGTTCTAAGGGTCCCTGTTCGGGCGCCATATGCTGGGGTCCATCCCCAGCAGGTCCAGGGGTCCCCAAAGGTGTGGACGGAGTCGGCAAAGAATGAATGACATGGAAACTGGGTTCAGTTCATCAGTATAGCGAGGTTCTCCCTCCAGGATCTCCAGCGAGGTTCTGGTCAGGATCTCCAGCGAAGTTCTGGTTAGGAACTCCAACCAAGTTCTGGTCAGGATCTCCAACCAAGTTCTGGTGCCATGTTCTCTCGCTAGGTTCTCCAGTGAAGTTCTGTAGCCAGGTTCTGTCCAGGATCTTTTGCCATGTTCTCTGGCTAGGTTCTGGTTAGGATCTGATGAGGAGCTGATGAGGAGCTGATGAGGAGCTGACGAGGATCTGATGAGGTTGTGTTGAGGATCTGATGAGGTTGTGTTGAGGATCTGATGAGGTTGTGTTCAAGAGAGATAGAAACATTAATGATGAGAAAGAATCATTGATCAGCTGCCTCCTCCACACCCCTTACTGGGGATTGAGCCTGCAACCTGGGCATGTGCCCCGGACCGGAATCAAACCCAGGACCCTTCAGTCTGCAGGCCGATGCTCTGTCCACTGAGCCACACGGGCTTGGGCTCCTGCTTAAAAGTCTTCGTGAGTTTCCCAGCGTCTCCAAATCAAGTGTCACCTTGTTCTGCTTGGAGCCCGGGGCCTCTGAGACCTGGCCCTGCAGCCAGCTTTCCCAGGTCCCCCTGCCGCAGCTCCTGCCCCATCCAGACCTGGTCTTGCCGTTTCTCGAA